GTGATGACAAAAGAAAAGAGAAGATAATAAAATGTAAGTATTGGTTTCTAAAGTTTATAATTCTTTCCACATTATATTGTGTAAGCAAACAAAATCATTTACGTAATGAATTGGCTTTGTCTTGCTTTTGGTCTGTCCCTTGTCTTGTACTTAGCACTACACAAACAAAGTAAGCTACATATAAAAATCAAACCCCAAAGTAAGTAAAAGAAATTAATAATAACTATATGTTAAACAAAATTAAAGAGCAGATGATGACCTCAGTTTAAGCCAAACACACAAGAGAGAGAGAGAGATTAGCTTAATTAATGGTTTACAGACGATGCTGGGTGGAGTGCTTTGTTGCTTATGTTTTTTAATTGTTATAATAAAATAAGAATTAACATGTGAATTATTATGCACAGAGTAGACAATGTAAATTAAATTTTCATATTTTATACACACACAGAGAGCACTTTGATAAATTGTCCAAAACCACAAGTGGTGAAACTAGCGGCGTAAAACATCCAAACCACTACAAAAATATGGGTGAAAGAATTCATGTCCCTACAGTCGCCTACTCTCGAGCCTGGCTTGGCATCATCTAGCTCACTATTATGCTATGCTAATTCTACTTTATATATATTTAATAAAAAATATATGACGTCTACACGGTAATAATATTTGGATGTCCATCTGAAAGAATTTATATATATATATAGTTATTCTTTTATTCGGGTATCTGCACGTTATGATCTTGTGAATTTTATTGTAAACATGCACGAAGATAGAGAAAAATAATACAAAATACACAAAGTCTGTATAATAATAACATCCAAATGTCCATATGGAAGAATTTATATATATATATATATATATATGTAAATTATATTTTGAATGCAACTTCTTTTTTTATATTTGATATTGGTGACTTTGTGATATTGTAAGGTAAGCATGGGCTGGCTTTGTTCGAGGTCAAGCCGAAATCAAGACCAAATTAATCAACTTATCAGAGTTCTTTTTAAAATTTGATAATCAACCCAAGTCAAGAACTTGTCCATTGGGAGGACACTACAACTGCACAGTTGATTTGGTCCGATAATTTTTTTTATTTTTTATTTTTATAAGTAGGATATCACAATTCCGGATATATAATTAAATTTTTATTTATTTTTTCACAAAACAATCTTGGGCCAAAGAAAATCTATACCCAAGAAAAAGCAAAGCCCAAATCAAACGTCATGTATATTGTCAAGGATAAATCATATATGTACCCAATATATTAAAGGAAGTTCATCTTCAAGGCTGAAAATCCCAAAGAGCAATTCCCTTCTACTTGGCCCAACTTCCAAGTACCCAATGTATTTTAATAGTATCGCCGTGCGGCTATACTATTTTTAAATAAATTTTTAAAAACCCAGTATAGCCGCCCGGCTATACCCTTGAAATGTATTATGTTTAAAGAGTATAGCCGTGCGGCTATACGATTTATTAAAAGAAAATTAGCAACGTATGTTTTCGAGAGTACTGATTCGTAAAAACAAAAGGTCCAAAAAAATACAGTATAGCCGCGCTGCTATACTCTTGAAATATATTATATTCAACAGTATAGCCGGTCGGCTATACTATTTATCAAAGAAAATTTTAAAAAACCACCTGCAAGAGTGGGTATGAATCAATTTCTTCTTTTTTCTTAAGCTAACTTGCCTTACTACCAAGCATATGAATGATGATAAAGTTTGGCTACTATATAATATTTCAATATATATTATTTTTATTCAATAATATGTAAAATTGTGTGTATAATACATGAATTTTGTGTGTATTGTTGACAATTTTGTAAAAACACATGTATTAAACATGAAAAATCCACACGTACGTGTATTGTATGTTTTTCTTGTGTACGGAAATGAAAGTATTGTTGAAAAATACTTATGTATGTGTAACACAATTATTAAACGGCAATATATTATACTATTTATTATTAAAAATAAAAATAAAAACAAAATAGCCCCCAATGAAATTAAATTTTTTAAAAAAATTATTACAATTTAGTATTTTCAGATAATGATGAAGTAGTAGATATGAGCTTAGTCAAGTTAGATAGAACGGATGTGTGTCTAACTCTACACTCGAGTTCGAATTCTCCTCCCTGTAGTTTATATTAATTTAAAATAAAATATTATTTGTATTCAAAAAATGATAATGATAAAATATCCTTCAACAAATGCACCGACATTAAAAACCAGTTTCTTTTGTAGCATAAGTCATCCCTCCTAATATTTGATTAGAGAAAATTAAGTAAGAGGAAACCAAATATATAACAAACGACAACCCCTACTAGTGGTTTATAATTTCTTAATTAGCCCAAGTTTAAGCCCATATCAATGTTGTGAAGTTGTGGATGCGATTTCCCAGCCCATAGAAATCAACAAAGTCTCCGTGTTGAAAACTTGATCCAGTGAGCGTTGCTTTGATTTTACTACTCTTGTGTACTAAAAGGTCGTACACCAAGTTGGACCTAAATCTTTGTCAATATGCGCTGTACGTGAAGTGGAGGTGAACCTTTGTAACTCAAAACCCATGCACTCTGAAATATCCATATTTGTATTGAAGCTAGGTTTTATAATCCGTGAGGCATGAGAAATTCGAACTCGAGACAATTTTTAATATTGTAAATAAAAGTATCACTAATTTAATAGTTAGTTGGTGTATTCAAGCTAGCTTAACTAAACCAAACTAAAACCATAGTTTTAAGTACTTATTAGGTGTTTCTCAAGAGCCGACGTTATTGTCTACATTTATCCCATGGTGCAAATGAAAACGACCTCTGTTTGGTTTCTACTGACTATATACTGAGACGAGACGACTTCGTTGGAAACATGCACACGTAGAAGCAAGAGTGGGTTTGTTCACTATGAGGGATCATATAGGCATATATATATATATATATATATATATGGATATTGATTGCCTCATTCTTTATAAATCCTTACGAATTATAGTTTGACACATATGCAAAAATAATTCATAAAAACACACACACAAAAGCTTATGCATACATATCACGTTGCTGTTAGCATAAATGTATAAACTTTTACTTACATAATAAGAAGGGAAGTGTTTTTCTATTGGTATAATGTCGAAATCATGTTGACATATTGTGGAAAAATCAAAATGCATGGGGGCCATCGCTATGATGAAATCTAGACTATAGGTACTGACTATGTACCACAGTACATTTTGGCATTATTATTTAATCGTGGACCCATCAAACTCACAATCATCTTAATCTCTTATTACAATATGAAAAATGATAAACTTATCACATTTTTATACCATATTGTATACCACCTTTTTAATACAGATGAATTCCGTTGTATTGGTGGGCTCCATTTTCATACCACAATATGAAAAATGCTTTTTCGTGAACCAGTCAAGTTACACTGCCTACTTGGAGCTCGTGGAAAGTTCCAACAGAAAGAGACTAGTAAAATATAATAGTCCAATTGAAATATTAAACTCATGTACTGCTTAAATTAAATCTCACCCTTTCCACTCACCAAGAGCCATAATTTAAGGTTTAAAGATTGAACACAAAAAGTTTATAATGTCGACATAATACTTGCTCCAAAAGAAACGCTTTATTCACATCAAGCTCCAATTTCAAATAAATCAATAACATTTACTCACACACGCATGTATTATGGAGTTTGAACCGAGAACCACTCGAGAGCATGTCAAATATCTGAGCCAATTAAACTAACACTCAATTAGTATATTAATAATTAGCTAAAAGGACAGTGAATGTATTATATGTGGAATATGATCATAGTTCTCAATTTCTTGACCTTAGCCAGAAAGAATAAAAATGGTTCAAGCAGTCGAATAATTCCAATGTCCCATTTTAGAGTGGGACTTCTTCAAAACCCAAAAGCTGCTCTATTATATACCTAATTCTATTGGAATCATATCACATTAGTTAATTAGTAGGTTAATATATATCACCATAATCCAAATCAAACTAACTAAAGTATAAAACTCCACTCGTATATATCTCACTACCTGCTGCACTCTCATCGTTCCCACCCACAAAGAGGCAGCTAAGCCCCAACAAAGGGCCCCTCCCCCTCCCCCACCCTATCTCTCATGCACTCTAAGTTCAAGGCCTGGTTTGGAAATATCGCATTGATTGAATCCAATATGGGGCTCCACGTATTAAGTTGTACTAATGTCCAAATTCATGTTTGGTGAACTTCAAATACTTGGATTAAACTTATAAAATTGAACGATAGTTCAATATATTGTGTTATATAAAGGAGTTATATTTAACTTCAATTTAGTTCAAGTCCAGTCGCCATATTAGGTAGAGACTCGTTGTCCTTAAGATGTTAGACATTAAGTTATTCGATTTAGCAATCCATCACGATCATTGTTATATGTGCTTTTGTATAAGTAATTTGTTATTCATTCATAATAATTGTCTAATTTGATAATCCAGTTATATAATTGTTAAGTTCAACAAACATAATACAAGATGATTATTAAGTTCACCAAACATCAATTAAATACAAACTTATCTTCTATGAACACCAAAAATTTGAACTTATCTGGTCTAGTCACACCTTCCAAATGTTAGAAGAGTGAAGCCCAAGACTCATTCAACCATGTGACAGTCTCGTGGGTGACGAGCCGACGAGCCCTTACCCTGCGAAAACCATAAGGCAATGAGTGCGAGAGAGTTTCCAAGCGGTCAAGGACCCCCGCGTCACACATATACTGGAATAAACCACTGCAGGTGCCACTGGATATGCTGCCACCTGTACAGTCCGACTCGGATATCCTCTTCCAATAAACAGTTTATTTTCCCCAAAACCCACTTTTCAAATAAAAAAACCGAATATTCCCATTTAAATTCCTCCAAAACCTTTCCGCCTATATATAAAGCCTGTCATATATTCTATTTTACCTCCAAGTTTCTCCACATTAGTAAAAGCTCATCACCAAAAGCTGCTTCATCAATGGCGGGTTTTGTAAGAACCAGAACGAAGAGAGTCACTTACCCTCTCGACGACAAGGTCAGGGCACGCCTCGTCGGCGGCTACAGCTCCGACCTCAGCATCTATGACGTCAGCAGCGGAAGCGAGCATTCCGGCGACGGCGACTCGCCCTGCCTCTCCGAGCTCGTCCACGATTTCCTCCAGGACGACTCGTCCGAGACTTGGTTACCGGACAACGAGACTGACTCGGACCGAGTCGACTCGGTCTCCGACGCGAAAGCGATGGACTCTATTCTCAGATCCGCGGCTGTTAGCGGAAATGAGGACTCGTTTGCGAAGCTGCTCCGCTCTCACGTTTCCGAGGCGGTGGAGGCGTTCTCGTGTCTGAGATCCGGCGACAAGTCAGCTCTGCGACGGAGCGTGATGTCGTTTTTGAGAGCCCGGGGGCACAATGCGGCGATCTGCAAGACCAATTGGAGCTCTTCCGGCAACATCACGGCCGGGAGCTACGAGTTCATCGACGTGGTTTGCGCCCAGTCGAGCTCCTCCATGTGGCAAAGCCGTTACTTCGTGGACCTCGACTTCGCCGCCCAGCTCGAAATCGCTAGGCCGACGAGCCAGTACTCGCGGCTGTTGCAGTTGCTGCCGAAAGACTTCATCGGCAGCTCGGAGGACCTGAAGCGAATCGTCCGAGTCATGAGCGACGCCGTCAAGAGGTCGCTGAGAAGCAGAGAGCTCTCGGTGCCTCCGTGGAGGAAAAACCGTTACATGCAGAACAAGTGGTTCGGTCCGTACAAACGGACAGTTAATCCGTTGACGGAGAAATCGTTTTCAATATCCTCCACCGTTTTCGCTCCGGTCTCCGGTGCAAAATGCCGTTGGGTTGGGTTCGACGACGCCGTTTCCGACTCCAGCGTCAACGGCCGTCTCTACGTCCGTACGTAGAAGATTAGTAATAATTAGATAAATTAATCGGTTAATCCAAAAATAATGATGGTTAAATATTTAATTTTTTTGGTTTTTTGTGGTGTAACGCGGAAAATGCACATCGGGTACGCACACCTTAGTTGCACGTGACTTGAATATAGAAACGTCGTAGCTCCAGCAAATCTGGGCTGTTGGTTTGTTTTGTTGGGCGTAAGCCTACAAATCGAACGGTTTTGAGATGAGGACTCAGTGTAACGTGTGCAGATCAGAGTGGGTGATTACTTCGGTGTGAAGTTTTATCCTGAAAGGATTTTTGATGCGATGAGGATGACAGGTGGCACCGTGTGATGAAGTCGCTTTCGCTCGCGGTGATGTGACGGGTGATGATAACATTTGGAAATTGTTGGGACAGCTGGCCTGTAATATAAATGTGGGTGCGTAGGTGGTGCAACAAATCCATGTATGATATTTGTAAACGTGGAGGAACAAGATAAGAAAGAAGAGACAATAATTTGGAATTTTGGATAAGGCTTTTTGTTGTGTTTTTTTTTGTGGTCGGTCTGAAGCCTTTTTGTTGTTTTTTAATTCATTTTTGGAAAATGATTAGATAAGGCAAAACTATTTCTTACTCGTGAGGAGAAACACTTTTATGAAACGAAAATAGTACTGTTTTGTTATTTTCGATCAATTACGGTATGCTATACGTGATAACTTTTCTACGTGACATATTATGATTGATTGGGATAATAAAATAATGCTATCCTCGTTTCATACAAGTTTTTTTACTCCGCGGGGCATAAAAAGTGGTGACACCCACAGTGGCGGATCTAGGATTCAAAAGTCAGGTAGGCGAAGCGTACCTTAAAAATTCGACGGTACGAGTGAATTTCATTCGTAAAAATAAAAAAAATACACCTAGTTGGGGAGAGCGTAATGAGATTTACACTAAGATGTAAAAACTTGACAAAAATAAAAAAAAATTTAATACAATGTAACAAAAAACTAAACTATTTAAATCTAAAACTAAATTAAACTATTTAAAAACTTAAGATGCATACATTTATTTTAGGAAAAAGCCAATAGAAGAATACTTATTGGTCTTAGGTATGAGAAAATGCTACAAAGAGAGAATGTCCAGACTCAAGAAGAAGCTGCAAAAGATAATGATTTGAGAATGTCGACTATTGCAGAGCCGAAAAGGAATTGGCTGCTTACTTATATTGCTTCCCCCCTTTTCTTTTTTTAAGTTTGACTGGGCCATATAACACGTGAGATGCTTTTAAGTTTGGATAGGCATGGGCTCACACAATTACATGAGATTGGTATGATTAGCTTTGCTTACACATATGTTTTTTTTTTGGTGAAAAAATTTAGTTAGGCAACTGCTTACCCTGCCCTTGCTAAAGAATCACCACTGGACACCCACCATTGACATTTCTCTAAGTTGCAAACTCCATCTACATATCCACAAATTTCTTTTGCTTCATTTTCGAATATAAGTTGTTAATTGAGCTTTTGTGGTGATGCTTACATTGCATTAAGGGAAATTTAAATTGTAACTTTGAGTCCTTATTGTTGACATGGAGAGTTATAAATATGTTCATAAATATTTCGTTGCCGGCAGTTGAACCTTAATTGTCTAACAATCTAATTTGTATATGCTACAACGAATGTGAACTTGGATTCCACTTTCTCAACTGAATTAAGTTCACATGAACTTTGAAAACAAAGGCTGCCCAAAATATTTCATGTAAAATATAAATCAGCAGTTCAACTTACCTTCATGTCATTCTCCCAAGTTTCAATCTACGTGTAATTCATGTGAATATATTTTTTAAAAACATAAAATAATTATTCGCAGGATCTTTTTTTTGGTTGTTGGAATATTCGCAAGATCTTGTGATAGTGTAAATCTATATACAAAACAATATCCAACAATATGCTTTACTAAATAATTGATAATATATTAAGAAAAATTCAAAAGTTGGCATTTTTTTTTGTTCCGACGAACGAAGTGCGACGGCATCTAAAGATCCGTCACTCGGTGGTATGGCCCACCACCACCGCCATTCTTTTTCCTCTTTTTATTTTTATTTATATTTATTTTTGTCACTGTGTTAAGATTCACTTTAGGCAGCGGTAAACAAATACGTGCCGGGAGACAGAGGGCCTCAGCCATCAGTAGAAGAAGAAGATCATAAGAAAACAACACAGCAGAAACAACATGAATGGTCAGTTCGACGGCGCAGCCAACGCCAATTACAACAGCAGCAGCAACAATCCTTATGTCCAATATTCCCCTGTTCCCATGACGAATTCTGCTACCAAGCGTTAGTATTTTCTGTTGAATATTTTGTTTCTTTTCTCATGATCATTTTTTTTTTTTTTTTTTTTTTTTTTTTTTTTTTTTTTTTTTTTTTTTTTTTTTTTTTTTTTTTTTTTTTTTTTTTTTTTTTTTTTTTTTTTTTTTTTTTTTTTTTTTTTTTTTTTTTTTTTTTTTTTTTTTTTTTTTTTTTTTTTTTTTTTTTTTTTTTTTTTTTTTTTTTTTTTTTTTTTTTTTTTTTTTTTTTTTTTTTTTTTTTTTTTTTTTTTTTTTTTTTTTTTTTTTTTTTTTTTTTTTTTTTTTTTTTTTTTTTTTTTTTAAATTTTTTTTTTAAAAAAAAAAAAAATTTTTTTTTAAAAAAAAAAAAAAAAAAAAAAAAAAAAAAAAAAAAAAAAAAACAATCTTTTTAAAAAAAAAAAATTTGAATTTATGAAAGAAACAATGTTATGGAAAAAAAAAGAAGGTAAAATCACTACGTCAGTTTTACAGATAATACATGATGGTTTTTTTTTGTAAAAACCGTCGTCTTTAGCGTTAATAGACGACAGTTTTTTTAAAAACCGTCGTCTTTACATATAATAGACGACGGTTCTTTTAAAAAACTGTCGTCTTTACATATAATAAACGACGGTTCTTTAAAAAATCGTCGGTTTTACATATAATAGATGACGGTTAATTACCGTCGTAATTGGACATTCAAAAAGATGACGGTCAATTTAACGACGGTTTGAAAAAAAAAAAGACAACGGTGTTTTCCCGTCGTCTATTTCAATTTTTGTAGTAGTGTATTAATGTATGATTGGATATAGCTTGCCTCTATACTAGTTAAATATATTCGAATATTTTAAACATATAGCCGCTTGGCGAAACCGTTAAAATATATTAATATATAAAGAGTATAGCCGTTTGGCTATACTGGTTAAATATATTCGAATATTTTAAACGCATAGCCGCGTGGTTATACTGCACAAAATTAGTTATAGCCTTTTGTTACTTTAATTAGTAATTATGTTTTAATTATTCTTTCTTTAGTATTTAAATATTTTATTAATTTCATAAATTACTTAACAAATAGTAATTAATTATTTTAAATTATTTTGTTGAATTTTTTATTATACAAAATTAGTTGTTTAGTTTAATATTTGCAATTAAGTAATATCTTAGCCTTATTTAATTATTATTTATTTAATGAATAATTAGTATTTGAGTATTTGAATTAATTTCTAGGGGTTAGTCGTTTTATTAGTCCCTGAACTTAGACCCAATTTGCATTTGAATCTTTCAATTTCCAAAATCTTTCCCGTTGTCCTTTAACTTCACTTTTGTTAGGACAAATGGTCTTACCATCAATTTTGTTAATTTTTACTATTAAATGCATGGGCAAAATAGTATTTTTATATTAAAACCAAAAATGAATAAAAATTATATCTTTAAAATAACAATATAAAAAAGGGAGATTCACTATTATACCCAATATAGGGACCCAAATTATAAAAATACTCCATATGAAATGGACTTTAGAAACACACCCAAAGCTCATTTACAACATAACAAATAGGCTTTTAACTTCTTATAAATTACAAAATTGTCATCAATTTCTTAAAACAAGCCCAACCCCAAAATCTCATAAAAATACCCAAAACACTCAATAGGCATCAAAGTAATTTAATAATCAATATTAAATTCAATAAGGCCAGCTGTCATTTTTTGGGTTTGTTTATAAAAATTCAATGGTGTAGGGTTTATTTATAATATTAGTGCTAAGAATGGGTATATCACTAAATATCTCTATAAAAAAATCAAATAAAAAACCAACCAAAAAAGAAGTTTGGGGGAAGTAGAAATCTGGATAGAGGGGGAGAGATTGTGTTTAATTTTAATTTGTTATTCATATTTTAATCAAGTGCAATGAGAAAAAGGCTGTCATTGAGCTTTAGTTCATAATTACGATGGATACATTTTAGAAAGTAAATTCTTACACAAGCAATTTTATACTTTGAAATTCAAGACTCTTTTATCCCCAAAATGTTGGTGGATCCCTATTTTTTGTTGTTGTATTTATGAGTTTAACCTGTATTCTTTCTCATAAATAAAATATATTTTTTATTCTTGCCTAATAGGCTAATAGCTGGAAATCATTAGAATGAGAGGTATAAGAAAGAATTTAAATTCTCATTCCTCAATATCACTGGTATAAATAAAATAATTGAAGAAATAACTCTATCCTAATTAGCTAAAGTGGTATTTTAGCCCTAAACCCTAAAATAACATGACAAAATTGTATATTTAAAGAGTATAGATTATTTTAAAGGAATAGCCGTGCGGCTATACGCTTTGAATATATTCGAATATTTTAACGGTGTAGCCGCGCGGCTGTACTCTGAAATATATTCAAACCCAACACGAAGCTTGCACTCGCAGTCACAGCCATTTCCTTCTCTATAAGCGCTTCCAAGCTTCAAAGACTCTGTCTCGAGCCCCTCTCTCTGTCTCTCTCTCAATTCAAGCTTCGAAATTTTTTCTTTCGTTTCGGTTGTTGCGTTGATTGGATTGGATTGGATTGACTCTCTCTATGAAAACCATCAAATGTCATTCAGCTATTGAAATCTCCACTAAGATAACAACTCTGATGCTATAAGGGAGTTAGGCGGCGTCTAGGCTTCCTGGGCGGTTCTAGGCGGCTCCTAGGCGGCCTAGGCGGCCTAGGCGGTTCTAGGCGGCCTGGGCAGGTCTGAGCGTCCTTTTTTTTCCAAATGAAGACAGACGAAGCTTGCTCTCGCTGAGGAATGTGGTGTGCGAGCGAAATGAAGAGACAGAGAAGCGAACACGAAGCTTGCACTCGCACTCCAATCTTCAAAATTCAAATACTCGGTCTTGAGCCTCTCTCTCAACTCAGCTTGGATTTTTTTTTCAGTTTCGGCTGCTGCGTTGATTCGATTTTTTTTGTGCTTTTCTGTTATTGAAGTTGGCAACGTCAGATGAATATCCAATGCAGTTTCTTAGTATGCCAGAAGAAGCCCGACAGATGGTTCTTTAACCTGAGGCACACCTTGCAGTTTGGCATTGGATTACACCATGCCGGTCTGAATGACAAAGATAGATCTCTGGTTGAGGAACAAGATTCAGGCATTTCTGTTTTACCTCAGTAAGCATGAGTCTTTCCTGAAAAACACATTAGGAAAAGAGAATATGAAAAGATCATTTTCTTACTCTATATACCGATTAGGCATATGTATTAAATTATAGGTATTGGTTTGTACCAGCACATTGGCATGAGGTGTAAACCTTCCAGGTCATCTTGTCATTATTCAAGTTAGGCAAAATTTGTGCAGTATCTTTTTCATTTGGTTCCTATATTTTCAAAGGTTTCTAGTAGGAGTATATTGCAGCAGCTGTTCTTCAGGACAAATTTACGCAAGTGTTGATTCTCTTGCCGGGAACAGAATATTATGATGGGAAAACAAAGAGATATGTTGATTTTCCAATATCAATCACAGATATATTGCAAATGATGGTTTTGGTCACACATAAAAAATAGAAAGAAGAAATATGTGAATCAAATTTCATGCTTTTCTCCCTTATAATCAACAGTTGCTCAGATTCTACAAGAAAGATGGGAGTAGATTTCCCTCACAGTCCGCCGGCGCCTAACAAATCGTATTACTTTCTGAATATTTGCCTCAAATACTAGGAATCTAATAAAGTCAATGGATGAAGTCTTGCAATCCTATATCTAATCAATAAACCATTTTCCTTTTTATTTTTGCAATACTCTACACCTATCTTTTTTTTGCTGTCAAAGTTCAGACAATGATCCTCTTGTTCTTAAATGTGGTGAGGACACAAGTTAAAAGCCTTTGGTTTTTATTATTTTGTGCCCTTGGTATTTGATTTATTGAGCCTGTACAAAATCTTACATGAGCGTAGTTTTCTACAGATGTTTAATCCAGCTTACTATGGCTTGGACAATACTGAACCTGAGTTTGATATAAAGTGGATAAGGACCGCTTAGATGATCCACATGTCAAAGCCAATCTGCTATTTCAGGTCAGAGTTGCCTTCAACTATTTGTTTTTCTAATAAAAACTTCATGTCGTTTTGCTTTTCAGTTCTCTCATCGTTTTATTCTCTTACATACATGAATTCTGCATTCATGCACATTTCTCGCAGTTAGAATTACCAATCAGTGATTACGTCACAGACTTGAAGTCAGCATTGGATCAAAGTATGCGAATCATTCAGGCCAGGCCATGATAGATTATAGATATATGTGCTAATAGTGGGTGGATTTGAAGCTCAATTACTTGCATGCATCTTCTGCAAATTGTCGTGCAGGTATTCTTCTTAGTAGTTACAATTCTGACTTCTTAGTAGTAGTACTTGCCTAGAATAAAAGACGAGTGCTAGAGCGAATTGGGCATTCTGCCTTGTTTATATTATTTCATTCTACAGCTAGCATATCAGTTGATTAGTTATAGATGTTAATCGGGGATGCTGAGCACCCTTGAATGTTGTTAGTCCATGCCTTTTTCCTGTATTGTTTATCTTGTTTTGTTTTTTTTCCCTTTGTCCTCCAAGAGAAGCTCTTCTTTTGTGTTTTTCCTTTCCACAATACATTACCCTAAAAAAATATAGGGCCATTTCAGCAGGACTCAAACCTTCAGCTTCTCGGCAACTTTATATTTCTCTTTATTAAAATTGAGTATATTGTGGGCTGTGATTGCCGGTATTAATGTATAATTGGATACATTGGGAATTTCATGTGCACGTGGGTATGGTATATGTAAGAATGAGATGCTTCTTCTCATCTAACACATTGTTTGAAATCTCATTTAGAATAGTTCGTATATATCAATGCCATATGACCTATGATAACTTCAATTTATTTCAAAACTCTTCTTTCGTTGTCCCATTAGAATGTTTTGTATCCAATTTTTCATATGCAGGGAATATACTGATGTATCTCAAAGCAGAAGAGCAGGGTTGTCAAGTGCAATGAGAAAAATGTTGTAATTGCGTTCAGTTCATAATTATGATGGATATATTTTAGAAAGTAAAATCTTATATAAGGAATTTTATACTATGAAATTCAACATTCTTTGATCCACAAAATGTTGGTGGATCCCCATTTTTGTTGTTGTATTTATGGGTTTAACCGGTATTATTTCTCATAAATAAAGTCCATTTTTTATTCTTGCGCAATGGGCTAATAGCCGGAAATCATTAGAATGGGAGGTATCAGAAAGAATTTAAATTCTCATTCCCCAATATCGCTTGTATAAACAAAATAATTGAATAAATAACTCTAGCTCAATTAGTTGAAGTGGTATTTTAGCCCTAAACCCTAAAATAATAATGCAAAATTGTATATTTAAGGAGTATAGCCGTTTGGCTATACGATTAAAATATATTCGAATATTTTAACGGTATATCTGAGCGGCTAAACTCGTAAAATATATTATTTTAAATAGGGGTGGCATTTTAAACCGAAAAACCGCAAAAACCAACCGACAATTTACCGCAATGAAACCGCAATCGCGGTAAACCGAACCACATTTGCGGTATTAAGAACCGAACTGCATTTGCGGTATTAAAATTATATCTTTAAAATAACAATAAAAAAAATCAAATAAAAAAACCAACCAAAAAGAAGTTTGGGGGGAGTAGAAATCCGGATAGAGGGGGTGAGATTGTGTTTAATTTTAATTTGTTATTCATATTTTAATCAAGTGCAATGAGAAAAAGGCTGTCATTGAGCTTTAGGTCATAATTACGATGGATACATTTTAGAAAGTAAATTCTTACACAAGAAATTTTATACTTTGAAATTCAAGATTCTTTTATCCCCAAAATGTTGGTGGATCCTTATTTTTTGTTGTTGTATTTATGAGTTTAACCTGTATTCTTTCTCATAAATAAAATATATTTTTTATTCTTGTCTAATGGGCTAATAGCTGGAAATCATTAAAATGGGAGATATCGGAAAGAATTTAAATTCTCATTCCTCAATATCACTGGTATAAATAAAATAATTGAAGAAATAACTCTATCCTAATTAGCTAAAGTGGTATTTTAGCCCTAAACCCTAAAATAACATGACAAAATTGTATATTTAAAGAGAATAGATTATTTTAAAGGAATAGCCGTGCGGCTATACGCTTCGAATATTTTCGAATATTTTCGAATATTTTAACGGTGTAGCCGCGCGGCTGTACTCTGAAATATATTCAAAACGAACACGAAGCTTGCACTCGCAGTCACAGCCATTTCCTTCTCTATAAGCGCTTCCAAGCTTCAAAGACTCTGTCTCGAGCCTCTCTCTCTGTCTCTCTCTCAATTCAAGCTTCGAAATTTTTTCTTTCGTTTCGGTTGTTGCGTTGATTGGATTGGATTGGATTTGACTCTCTCTATGAAAACCATCAAATGTCATTCAGCTATTGAAATCTCCACTAAGATAACAACTCTGATGCTATAAGGGAGTTAGGCGGCGTCTAGGCTTCCTGGGCGGTTCTAGGCGGCGCCTAGGCGGCCTAGGCGGTTCTAGGCGGCCTGGGCGGGTCTAGGCGGCGCCTAGGCGGTTCTAGGCGGCCTGGGCAGGTCTGAGCGTCCTTTTTTTTCCAAATGAAGACAGACGAAGCTTGCTCTCGCTGAGGAATGTGGTGTGCGAGCGAAATGAAGAGACAGAGAAGCGAACACGAAGCTTGCACTCGCAGTCCAATCTTCAAAATTCAAATACTCGGTCTTGAGCCTCTCTCTCAACTCAAGCTTGGATTTTTTTTCCAGTTTCGGCTGCTGATTTTTTTTGTGCTTTTCTGTTATTGAAGTTGGCAACGTCAGATGAATATCCAATGCAGTTTCTTAGTATGCCAGAAGAAGCCCGACAGATGGTTCTTTAACCTGAGGCACACCTTGCAGTTTGGCATTGGATTACACCATGCCGGTCTGAATGACAAAGATAGATCTCTGGTTGAGGAACAAGATTCAGGCATTTCTGTTTTACCTCAGTAAGCATGAGTCTTTCCTGAAAAACACATTAGGAAAAGGGAATATGAAAAGATCATTTTCTTACTCTATATACCGATTAGGCATATATGTATTAAATTATAGGTATTGGTTTGTACCAGCACATTGGCATGAGGTGTAAACCTTCCAGGTCATCTTGTCATTATTCAAGTTAGGCAAAATTTGTGCAGTATCTTTTTCATTTGGTTCCTACATTTTCAAAGGTTTCTAGTAGGAGTATATTGCAGCAGCTGTTCTTCAGGACAAATTTACGCAAGTGTTGATTCTCTTGCAGGGAACAGAATATTATGATGGGAAAACAAAGAGATATGTTGATTTTCCAATATCAATCACAGATATATTGCAAATGATGGTTTTGGTCACACATAAAAAATAGAAAGAAGAAATATGTGAATCAAATTTCATGCTTTTCTCCCTTATATAATCAACAGTTGCTCAGATTCTACAAGAAAGATGGGAGTAGATTTCCCTCACAGTCCGCCGGCGCCTAACAAATCGTATTACTTTCTGAATATTTGCCTCAAATACTAGGAATCTAATAAAGTCAATGGATGAAGTCTTGCAATCCTATATCTAATCAATAAACCATTTTCCTTTTTATTTTTGCAATACTCTACACCTATCTTTTTTTTGCAATAAACCATTGCTGCTGTGACAATGATCCTCTTGTTCTTAAATGTGGTGAGGACACAAGTTAAAAGCCTTTGGTTTTTATTATTTTGTGCCCTTGGTATTTGATTTATTGAGCCTGTACAAAATCTTACATGAGCGTAGTTTTCTACAGATGTTTAATCCAGCTTACTATGGCTTGGACAATACTGAACCTGAGTTTGATATAAAGTGGATAAGGACCGCTTAGATGATCCACATGTCAAAGCCAATCTGCTATTTCAGGTCAGAGTTGCCTTCAACTATTTGTTTTTCTAATAAAAACTTCATGTCATTTTGCTTTTCAGTTCTCTCATCGTTTTATTCTCTTACATACATGAATTCTGCATTCATGCACATTTCTCGCAGTTAGAATTACCAATCAGTGATTACGTCACAGACTTGAAGTCAGCATTGGATCAAAGTATGCGAATCATTCAGGCCAGGCCATGATAGATTATAGATATATGTGCTAATAGTGG